TACAGCTTCTAGTTTCTGCCTTATTCCTTGCGAACAGACTTGCTTGGAGCAGTAATGTGAGCAGGAAGATGGTCCCAGCTCCAGAGGAAGAAGCCCGGTGGGTTCAAGCCAAACTGGGCAATTCCACCTCCCCTCGCCCACCTCCCCTTACTGATGGGTGGGGACGTGACCCAGTTTTGACCCAGGCTGGGTGGAGATGGGGCTGCGGCAGAGGCTCTGTGAAAGGTTTTCACCTTTAAAAGAGAGAAACTAGGACCCTCCCTGGTGGCGCAGCAGGTTAAAGCGCAGCACTGGGAAGCTAAAGCCACTTCAGCCTGAGTTCACTCCCCACCCGGAGGTGACCACATGGCGCGGCAGACCGCTCCTGCCCCGCCCGCTGCTCCCCTCAGCAGTGTACTTGTCCGCCTGTCCTGCTCCCCTCTGAGTCTCTGGTGACTCCTCACCACCCCTGCACCTCTGGCCTGTACCCCAGGTCAGCTCTGTTGGCCTAGTGATGCCTGCAGCTCCTGGGCCCATCTTGTGGCTTTGAGCGGAAACTGAGAGCGCAGCAGAGACTGCCCTGAGCGCTGATGCGCTTGCTGCTGCGTGAATCAACCCGAAGCACCCAGCTCTAGCTTGTCACTAACCACCTGCTTACTGAGTGCCAGGTCGCCATTCTTGGCACCCGCCTTGGGTTACTACCGGAATCTTAACACCCCCAGGTAAGGACTCTGGCTGTGAGCTGGCTTCACACCAATGCAGCACCTGTTCCCACTCTACCTCCCACGCCATGCCCTGCAGGCACCTCTCTCCAGACACCAGCCTAGTGGGCTGCTGGAGGGGAAAAAAAAATCAGGCTTTTTATGCCACTGGCCTCTGGCACCCTCACTGTGCCTGGGTCATGCAGACGGTGGTGGGAGCGTCTGACGGTGGACACCTGGGGCCCGACCGCGGGCCTGTGCAGGACAGCACGCCTGGGCCTAAGGCCGGGGGGCAAAGGAGCTGAGGCCAGAGACACTGCAGAGAGCCCAGAGGGGCCTAAGAGTCAGGGGGACTGGGAGACTGGGTTGGGGGGCTGGGAGACTGGGTTGGGGGGCTGGGAGACTGGGTTGTGTGCAGCTCCCAGGTGCCCCCTGCCCGGCCCATGTTTCCCGGCCTGCCTGGCGTGCCAGTACCCGGTTCCCTGAGAGCATTCGAGTCTGAAGACCCCTCCCACCCCGGAGGCCGCTCCTTTGCCCGCCTGTGCTCGGGCACAAGTTTACAGAGTAGCCCTAAGGTAGCGAAAGCCCTCAGAGCCGGGGTCTGCCCCGTCACACCGCGCACCCACCTTGTACTGTTGCTCTTAAATGTTCCCACTGTAGTCCGTGCTCCAGCTGCTTTTGGTCAGCGTCTTTCTTGTCCTTCTACGAAGGCGACCACTGGTTCTCCCGCCCCTCACCCCCCTTGCCTTTCACCCCCACTGGTCTCTTTACTCCTAATCCACTGCTTCCCCCTCCCCCTTTTCTCCAACCCTCCACCAAAAGGATCTGAGTCCCCAAGGACTGTTCAGGGTGTACCCCAAGGAGGGGATACATACGCCCCCCCCCGAAGGCACACTTGGTGGACAGCAGGCCTCTCTCAGTCATCACCAAATTGCCAATCTTGTCACAAGTCATGACGTGGGTGGGTCCTGGCTCCGCCCCTTGATTCAGGCTCGAAAAACAACACAGGTGCAAACAGTTTACACAGACTTTATTTTTCACCCGCTGAACACAGGAAGGTCTGGGCAGGCAGAGGGGTCGCAATCACTCCCTGGTTCCCAGACACAGACTGCGAAGCGGAGGGCCTACTCCTACCACAGCTTGCAATGGGATTATCACAATGACACGTTCGTTCTGGATTCTATTTACACCATGGGGTGTGGAGAGGGTACATTTCTTACACTAAAAATATAGACTTTGGAATCTCTAAAACAAAAATATCTCTATCTCTACATGAGACCTACTAGAAAGAACATAGAAAACAAGGGAAATGTACCAGCACCTCAAGTTGTCCCCTTCCCTGGGAAGGCTGCTCTGCTCTCCACCTGACGCCGCTGGCCCGGAAGGGCAGCCCCAGCCAAGGACCAGACAGACAGAAACATCTTGGAGTGAACGTGGCAGAAAGGAGTGGGGAGGAGGATTTTGGCCTCTTGCAAAAGGAGTAATTGCACATTCACTGTGGTGCTTCTGCTTCCAATGTTACTGCACATGTGACGAACCTGCATGTTGAGTCAACTGCGAAGCTGAGAGGAGCCCAAGGCCTGCTGGCTTCTGCCGGGCTCAGAAGAACGCGGCAGTGGGCGTGCTCACGCGCTCACTGTCATCGGCTACAGCAGAAGGTGTGTGTTTTCCAGTGGACTAGGGTTAAGAAAAAACGCTATTCCTCTTTTCAGAAGGATCCCAAGTCGTCCCACTCCCTGTCCCACTCCCTCGGAGCACAGAATCTCCTAAAAGAACTGTGCCTATGGAGGAATTATCCCACTTGGGTTCACGTAAACACTTCCTTTCCTCCCATCTGCTTTCAAGCAGCCACCTAATTACTTCACACCTTTTTTGGTTATGAAAATTAACCTCCTTTCTGGTAAAGAAATGTTAATTGCATCAAGTGCTCCTTCCCTTAAAGAGATCAAGGCCACCAAGAATCATAGAGAATATATTTGGTAGAAAAACCACTTCTATTTGGTTTTGGAATGTCTCTTTTCTGTTAATATTAAATCTGATGATCCAGAGGGCGTAGAACCCTTAATCCCTCACCATAAGTAGGAAAACAAATGTAAAGTCCTTTTTCTGGGCGAACTCAGAAATATCCAGACACCGCACCTGTCTCACCACCCCACGGGGTGGTGGTTTCTGGACCTCTGACCAAGAACATTTTCCCTCCAAGAACACCTGAAAGACTCAGGACAAGGCATGAAGAAGGGGAAAGGGCTTTCGCAAAGACCAGTGAGTAAAAAGGGGAGAAACACAGAGGATATGTCACTTGGCTAATGGCGCAGCAGAAGAATTTTACTTTATGAGCGGTCTGAAAGCTTGAAAGCTACCAACAAAAGAAATTCAAGTGGACCAGGGACATTCAACTGCAGGGGTCCTGAATGTCCTGCTAGGATGTGGCTGTGAAACCTGAGAAGTCCAAGGAAAACGCAGTAACTGGCCAAGACTCTGAAAGTCTGGGGAGCTGGTTCGCTCTCTGGCAAAGCTGACAGAGCAGACAGCGTCAGGGTGGTGTCTCGTGCTAGTTCAAAGGCGAGCCAGGGCCTGGGGTCCCGCCTTCGCTTACGCTTCAGGAAACAGGGAGACCAAAAACAGGCATGCGCAGGTCGACTGCAAACCTCCTAAGGGAAGCCCCAGCTTGGCCGACTGCTGCTGGGCCCACAAGTGAAATCACAAGGAGATGCAGGGAGAATTCCTGACTCCTCTATGGGAGGGAAATCTGGAGAGCTGAGTCAGCAGAAGATAAAGGAAAGTTGGGAATTGTCATTTTTGAAGACCAGAGACCGCTTGAAGGTGACAGCTGTCACAGCCTGAGATGTCAATCAAGTCTAAAGCTTAGCATAGACCAGACCTCATCAACAGGTGTGCCTCGTTTATAAGCCGGTCCACCCAGACGAAGAACAGCAACTGTCCGCACAGCCTGGGCAGCGAGCTCACTGCCCCCACCGCAGCCGCCGAGACAGCTGCTCCCGGGGCCAGGGGCCCCCGCACCGCCACAGCACACTTGTGCTGCGCTGCGTGCGCTCCACACCAGGCCTTCCCTGAACTGCAGGACTCGGCAGCAGCGCTCCCTCCCACTTAGCAAGTCAGCCACTCCCCTCAGAGCGAGAGGCCACTTACCATGCTTCCCGGGGTCCCTGGCCTCCCGCCCTCCCTGCCTCTTCCTACCGGCCTGAGCTGGCGGTGGTCAGCCAAGGCGCGAATCTAATCTAATCTGGCCTGCCTTAAGGGCGGGGCGCCGCCTCACTGCCCAGGCAGACCTGGGCACAGAATAGCCCACCCAGCTGTCTGCCTCGCTCCTAACCCTAAGTCTTTTCTGCATTCTGGGAGTTGAACACCTCTTTCTAGAAACAGGTCGGACTGCAGCTGCCAGCACGTTTTCTACCAGGGACGTCACAGAGGGGCACCTAGACGGGCCAGTGACCGTTTGTGTTGTGTCCCCCCACCCCCCACCCCCCGCGCGGCAGGGCTGGATCTTAGGGGCGGACGAATCTCAGGTGTCGATAAACGCCGCCCGCTGAATCCGCGGCTCCCGCTGCACACTGCCCAGCGGCCTCTGCCCCCAAGGTCCTCGCTGCAGGCCAGAGCAGCCAGCGGCCAGGACCAGGAGTAAGCCAGTGTCCGGGCGTTAGAAAAGATGAGCGAGAGAAAGGCTAAGGAGTGCTTCCACACTGACAATAGAAGGAATGGAACATTGTCTGACAGAACCTCCCGGCCGGGCTGGCAGACTTGGGTGCAGGAAGCCCCGGGGCTGGCTCGGACCGCAGCACCCAGGCGTTTGCCCGCGGGTTCCTGCCTCAGAGCACTGTGTGCGCAGGTATGGCAGACAGCAGACAGCAAAGGGATGTGTTTCCAGGTGATGTCAGCTGCTTTGGCTGTCCCGTTCCTTACACGTGCTGGGGGTGGGGGCAGGCGGGCGCCACTGGCCTCCTACAGAGGCGGCAGAACTGACGGCAGAGGCAAGGCTGAGGGAGAAAGGGGGCAAGTTCCAGGGACCGAGTGGCGAGGCGGCGCCTCACGGAGCCCCAGAGCGAGGGGCAGGACAGCACGAACCTTCCCCGCTGACAGGTTGCCTTCTGATTTTTCTAAATTAGGTAGGTAAATGCACTCAATGATTACATTTATCCTAAAGTGACAAAATGCGATGCTTTGGCTCACAGAGCTGTTAATGTGCCGTCGTTCAAACAAGCCTACGTGGTCCCAGCCGCGCCGTACGAGAGGAAATGGAGGCCGCTCCCCAGCTGGTGAGCGGCTCGGCTCGGGCAACCCGCGCCCGCCGGCACCCGCGCGCAGGGCGGTCCCCCTGCTGTCTGGACGCTGGTGGCGCTCCGCCGTGTGCTGGCCACGGCGGCTGTGCTGGCCACAGCGGCACGCCCCGGGGGCCGCGCCCCGCAGCAGTTAGCAGCAGTTAAGGATTCCGAAAACCGGCCGTGGCTCCAGAGGACAGTGAAAGATGAAATAAATGCGAGAGACTTTCAATATCAAAAGTCTTTAAGACCGGAATACACCAATACATTGTAAGAGTCCAAGGAATGTGAGATTCAGCAAGGTGATACGTCCAGTCTCCGCCCACGAAGGAAAGCTCGCTGGCAAAATGTCCGCCCCAGCAAGATTCCTCAGGGTGGAAGACGACCGGTCGCGTCCCTGCGTACCGACCGGCTTTCTCGCCACATTCTGTGCGCACAGGGAAGGAAGTCCACGGAACCCACATCCTTGAAAATCAGTGCAATGGAGAAAACTATAAAGTTTTAAACTGAATGCAAAATAAATCTTACCACTACACTTTCCAGTGTGGCTTTTCCCGTCTGAGAGCCAGAACCAAACTGACTAAAAGACCACGTGGCTGAAGGTGCTTTGGTCCTCAGAGCTGACGGTGGCTCGCTCCTGAGGCAGCTGAGGAGAAGAGACCTAAGCACTTGGATGCCCCCAGGGAGGAGTCCACGCGCCAAGAGACCGGCCTGAGGGCCCCACAACGGCCAAAGAAACACCTCATACCTCACTTCTACCTACCGCTATGGCCGAATTGTTCCGAGACCCAGAAAGCAGACCCCGTGACTCCTTCCGCACCTAACCTCGCCCCCCGTACTAACTCAGGCTCATTCTAGCAATCGCTCCTCCCGAAGAAGAGAAGCATTCAGGAGCCTTCTCCCGCCCGCGCCTCAGCAACCCCGCGTCCTCCTGGCCAGCGAGCAACGAGGCGCCTTCCCCGCAGGCCTCTGAACCCCAGCAGCAAACGCCCCAGGCGGCGCCAAACCGGCCGCCTCGCGCCGCCGCAGAGTCTCGGGGCCCGGGGGGCTGCCCCTCTTCTTTCTGTTGCCTTCCTACCCGCACCCCACCCTTCAGGAAGAGGGATCCTGTCGGAGGAGCGCTCAGTGGCAGGCTGCATCCGGGCGGCTCGCACGCCAGCAGAATGTTTGGGAAGAATGACTGGAAATGGAGGCAGGGTCCCCAGCGAGGCCGTGGGGAGGGCCCGGAGCAAGGGCAGCCCCGCGGGGGCGGCCCCCTCACGCCCACCCCGCGTGAATGTCGCAATGTGCAGCATGGCTTCCACAGGACCAGGAGCGGGGCCAGGCCGGTCTCGCTCCTCTGCGCCATTCACCGTCTTCTCTGTAAGCAGAATTTCCCTGAGGCACCTCACGGCCCAAACCTTCCATCCCGGCGAAGACTTTCAGTTGAAGAGACTGAATAAAAGTGTTACAATTAGACCAAAAGGGAACACATGATTCATTCCTGCTTTTAACACAATACTTTGAAGATGTCACCACAATTTGGATCTGTCTATATTTTAAGTTCATTTACAAGTAGACTAGTTCTCAACTAAAAATAACCATGTGCGTTATACATTTCGACAGCTGCCTGGATTTTCCTCTGAAGGAAACAAGATTCTATATTTCACTCACATTCAGCACAGATTTATTTTAACCCATTAGATGAAGAAATAACCTGCCACCACCACCACCGACAGATGGCTGTGACTTTTCAAAGCTTTTCAGTTTCTCCTCAGAGAAGCCCAGTGAGTGAGGCTGTCAATTATTATTATTCCCTTTTCACTGCCAAATAAACTGAGTGGCCTGACTGGCTAACCATTGAATAGTTGGACCAAGTCTCCTAATTCCTAACCTGACGTTTTTCTTTTTAACCAGAAAAAATGCCTTTACTAAGACTTAAATGTTGCCTTCAGTTATGTAACAACTGAAACTTGAGTGGTGTTTGCACTAAATTATTCAAGTAATTTGGGCGTGTGGCCTACCTCCATGTAGGCAAAGATGCTTCAAGTCCTTCCATTTTCCTCATTAATCTAATTAAATCTGATATATGCTAATGACAAATGAGCTAGAGAATACAGTTTCCAAAATAAGAAAAGTTACAGTTTAATATTTCAAACTCTCGATCTGGCAATAATCTTATTACGAAACCAGCTTAAGCAAGGCTAATGCCTGTATCCTGCCACCAGCGCTCCACAGTGGGCAGCGGCTGTCCAGTGTGTGGGCAGCAAGCAGAGATGCTCTGCAGACTGGGAACTGGGAACAGGGTCAAGGGAAGCAAATACATAAGAAAACGTGAGCCCCAAATAATTCCACCCTGACTTTGGGCCTGGGTAAGCAGGCAGCTCCCAGTTTAGAATCCATTCTTACTTTTCATGGGCTTATAATTATACTTGTGGGGTCCTGGAAGTGCTAAACAGACAAATTCAACTTTACAACTAAAATACATTCTACTTTTAACATGATCTCCATTGTTTAAAAAGATTGTATTCATTTGTGCATGCAGAACTGGGGTACAGGCCAGAGGTTCAGGGGTGGTGAGAGGATTCACCAGAAACAGAGTGGGAAGCAGAACAGGCAGATCAACAAAGCACACTGCTGAGGGGAGCAGCAGGGAGACAGGAGAGGCCTGCCGCCCCGTGTGGGTCAGCTTCAGGGCCGGGACCAAACTTGCACTGAAGCGGCCATGGCTTGGCGTAGCCTCGCAGTACAGCGCTCCAATCCCTGCACTTCCAGGGAGGGTCCATGATCACCATTTTTAAAGGTCATAAATAAAAGATCAGCAAGTATAGTTCTCTTTACCTTTTTTCCTTGGTAGTTCCAGAATTCATACTGAGAGTTTTCCAGACCGTGGTCTTCGGCATTTCATCAGATATATTAATCTCAGAGGGGTCACATCTGAAATCAATGGTTAGGACACAAAGTTTAAGACAGACAAACGCACACCTCAGTGCATGGCGACCACACCTCCCGGGAAGGAGACCGGATCTGAGGGCCCAGCTCTCAGCCCTCAGTTGCACTGCGACCCAGCTGGCCCTGCACAGAGGCACGATGTTACCGGGCAGTGCCGAGCTGGGCGGCCGAGCCAGGAGGCATCTGTCGGGCACCCACAGCTACTCTGCGCTGTGTCCTCCGGCTGCTGGTGTCATCGCCATGACACCAGCGGTGGTGGCATCAGGAGCTGTCACCTACTAAGGCCACTGTGTACCAGCACAGCGGCAGACACTCTCCACTAACTTCCACGTTTTCAAGGCCAGATCTTTTCTAGGTGCAGTTCACGCAGGACTTTCAGGGCAGATTGCATGCCCTGTCACGGCATCAGATCACCGACACTCTCGTTTTGGTGTGGAAACCAAAGCTGCCGGGGCAGGTTACCATCAGAGAGCAGACGACGGTCAGGAGTAATCAACTACGGGTGAGCCCTGGGTCTCAGCGCTGCTGAAGCTTCCTGTGAAGCAGGCGCCGCCTCCCCAAAGGCCAGGAGGCCGACGCTGGGAGGGCGCTGCTGCCGGAGTTCAGCCTGCTCTGCCTAGCAGCTGTAGAAGGTTCATTGAAGATTAGAAATCCCATGTGTTTGGGTCCATCACACACAAGCCCGGTGACAGCACACACGGAGTGATGGCCACGGCCAGAGGCTGGGCAGACGTGGGGTGGGTAGGTGTGAGCGACACCGTCTAAGGGCACCAATCTACAGCCAGAAAAGGAGCGTGTTCGGAAGGCCGGGCACCTAGCATGGCGACAAGAGCCGCCAGCGCCCACTGGACACCTGCACTGGCTGAGAGTGGACCTCAGACCTCCTCACCACACACACAGACCCATCTGGGAGGTGGGGGGCATGTCAGTTTCATTGTAGTAGTCATTCCATACTGTATAGATAGTTTAAAACATTATATACCTTAAACTTGTAATATTTTTGTCAAAAATAAATAGACCAAAGAAAAAGCTTTGCCCATTTCCTCCCACTATCAATGACAATGTCTCAGCTGCACGCTGCCCAGGATGCACGTGGCTTTGAGCCCCTTACCTAATCCCTCAACCTCTGAGCGTCTTCCAGCTTGTGGGCGTCTCTTCCAAGGGAGAAACAAAAATGCCAGGAACAAAGTCACAAACTCGGCTTCCTGGGCTTGAGGAGAGGGAGCAGGTTTCCCAGAGAAAGCCCGAGGTGGCGGGAGCAGAAGGAGGGCTGGCCCCGCTCAGCTCCTGCCTGCCTCCCGGGAATGCAGGTGCCCTAAGCCGGCTGCAACGGGCTCTCTGCCTGTGCCCCACTGCCCAAGCGCGGGGATGGTGTGCCCACAGCGGAGAACCCTCGCGACACTAGCACCACGCCCTCTGCATCTTTGGGTGTGAGAGAGGCAAACAGAGCACTCGTTTGACCAATGCAAAGACGAGAGTTTGGATCCTGTGACCTTGGGCAAATGTCCTGAACCACCCACGCCTGTTCCTCACTTGCAGGAACGGGCCTCTCCACACTCGCCGGCCTGAGGCGCCTCACACGCGCACACCGCCCAGCAGTCCCGGCTCAGGCGACCGGCTCAGGACGCGGCTCCCTTCCTCTGTTCTCCGTTCAGTTTCTGGCCCTTGCTAGGCGCTGACACGCGGGTGCCGGAAAGGAAGGTGTTTTCACAAGCTGGAGCTGGGCGTCTGCATATGAAGCTTTTTATACCAGTAGCAGCATCTGGCATCCAGCTCCCACCCCAAAGTCAGTGTTTATAGAACTGCCAAACAGTAAATTGCTTGGTGTTTGGGGAGTTTTACCTGAAACTGCTGTTCTTTCCAGGACTACTTAGTAACTTCCTGTTCTCTAAGGGGAACTTGTCTCCCCCCATTTCTAACATTTTCTCAGCCTCCTAAAAGAAAAGAAATATTATTATAGCTTACAAGCCCCTTTTTCTACCATGAAAGTATCTACCGATTGTTTTCCTCACAGTTATTATGAATCTCATGATATTCTTTCATAGATCTGACTTATCACAAAAAGAGAGACAAACACAAATTTTTATCTGTGGAATAGCATTTCAAAAAGATCAAACCTGATTCTGAGTAAGTCACTTGAGCTCAACTACCAAGTTATGGGAAATGTAGAGGGACAGAAGAACTGAGTGATAGCAAAGGACACATTTTGTAAAATCTAAATAGTAGGTAAAAGACACAGTTTCCTCAACAAGAAGAAAAAAGAAAGGGAAAGCTTAAATGGATTTATCAGTCAACTGCAATATATGGACCTCATCTGATATTGTTCAGACAGATTATTAAAAACAGTAAGACAATTGGGGAAATATGAATACTAAAAGTCCTTTTTTTACTTTTGTATATGCGTAAAATATTCCATAATAAAATATTTTCTTAAAAATAATCACAGTCAAACAATTCTTTAAAAAATTTAAAACACCGTTATTATATGACCTAGTAATCCTACCTCTAGGTATTTACCCAAAGAATATGAAAACACTAATTCAAAAAGATATTGCACCCCTACGGTCACTGCAGCACTGCTCACAATAACCAACAGTCCAGTAGGAAAAATCCCAAATGCCACTGTTCATTTGTCAAAGATGTGGTATAAATATCTACAGTGGAATATTACCCAACCATTAAAATGAGATGAATGTTGCCATTTGCCAACATGGATAGAACTTGAGGTAATTAATACTAATTGAAATAAGTCAGAAGGGGAAAGACAAAGATTGTATGATTTCACTCAATTGTAGAATATAAAGCAAAAAACCCAACTGAACAAAAAGCAAAACAAGCCCTTAGATCTGACACAGACTGTGGTTTCCAGAGAGGAAGAGGGTGGAAGGAATATCTTGATGGTGACTGGACATTTGGTGGTGGGTGAGGTATGAAATATACATTTGCTGAGGCAAGTAAATATGTACCTGAGACATGTACAATGTTGTAAACTAATTTTACCTCCATAAAAAAAAAAAAACACTCTTATTAAATAACAAAGTAAATAAAGGTAGAAATTACATAGAAAGCAGTTTAAAGTAGAATTTAATAATAAATCTCAAAACAATTATAAGTCTTAAAGTGTTTGCATTAATTATGAGATAATAATTAATAGACAAAGAAACAAATTAATAGACAAAATTAATAGACAAAGAAACAAAATTCTTATGAAACAGTTGAAAGGAAAAAATCAGGGAAAAAAAATGCATCCCGAAAAGAAATACACAACTGTTTTGGTCATATGAAATCTATCTAAGGATTTGAAGAGAACAGGAAGAAATGAACATAAATATTGATATATTAGTTATTAATACAAAATTTGGGGGTAAATATGCTCACTTTTTGCTTTCATTTCACTTAGATTTAAACATAATTTTATAATGTAAGATATATATTAACACATACACATTTACTTCAGAAATTCTGGAAAATAACCTTGAAATAACCTTAAATTTATCAAATCTGTTCCTAGCTCTTCCTCATTTTTGTAGCACAATCATTCACCCACTGTCACTATAAAAATCTAGAAGTCATCCTCATTCCTGTCTTTCACCCATGTTTACTATCCATTAGCAGAACCTGTTGACTCTACCTTCCAAACAAGTTGCAGTCACTTTCCCCACCCTCCCTCAGTCTAAGCCACCACCACTTCCGGCTGAACCACTGCCACCGCCTGCCACCGTCTGAGTAGTCTCCACTCTCTCGTCCAGCCTCAGCGGCTTCCTTGGGTTCCCCAAGCACAGCAAGCTCCTTCCTGCTTCAAGCTGCAAGGGCTGTTGCTCTGGCATGGAATGTCCCTACTCCCAGCTGCTATTGGGACTTGCCCCTCACTTTCCCCAGGCTTCTGGTCAGGCGACTCCTCAGCGGAGCAGGAGTAACCCCTGAGCACTCTAAAGCAACCCCCTTGCTTCCCTGCTTCCTCCTTAAAACATACTACTACCTGGCATGTGTTTAGGTGTGACTGTCTGTGTAACACAGGCACTAATATTAACATTAGTGCTTGTGGGTGGGGTACCCCCAGGTGCACTCTGTCTTGTATACCACTATGTCTGGAAGAGTGACTGGAACAGAGTGAGCGCTCATTATTATTTTAAAAAGAAGGAAATAAATTTAAAGGTTTGCAATCTTACCATCCAGAGAGACAGAGGAAAGCACAATAAATTTTAGCCTATTTTTCTAATATATATACATATTTTATGTTTAATACGTGTGTATACATACATACATGAATATACAAACTGTTTTTAGTAAAATTTGTATTTCTACTAGATGATCCATTTTTATCCTCTATGTTTTCAAATGTTATAAACTTATTCACATATCATAAAGTATTTTCTAAATTTTGATTTTTGAAAGGTTGTACAGTATTCTATTTTAGTATATTTGTTCTTATTTTCCTTTTAAATCGTTACTGTTTTACATACACTGTAATTAAGTTATTTTGCACACATTGATTATATCCTTAGGGTAAATCCAAAAATTAGCAGTTCTAGGCCAAAGGACCTATATACATTTTTAAGACCCTACTATTGAACTGCCCCTTAAAAAGAGTTATTCTGTTTACATTCACATTAACATGCGAGAGAGTACATTTCAATTGCAGTCTTGCAACTTTAACCAAAAAACAAAGGGTTTTTAAAACCTTTGCCAATATGACAAGACTGTGTTCTCCTTGTTTAAATTTCCATTTCTTTGATTATTAGCAAGAATGATCCATTATTATAAAGTAACTGGCCACTTGTATTTCTTCCTTTGGAAATTACCCATGCCCACTGATCACTGCTAGTCCATTACTGTTTTATTAATTTATAAGAGATTATTTGAATATTAAGGATATTAACTTAAAGCTTCACGTTTTAGGTAGTAAATTCTATCAGTCTTCTCTTTATAGTTTTCTTCTACAGCTTTTGTGCTTAGAATTATAATTGTTAAAGTTTATTTAATAAGACAAAGCCAGATGCACAGACCAGTGGAACAGAATTAAGAGCCCAGAAATAAGCCAAGTGTGGTCTACACTACTACTTAAAGGAATCAAGGATACTTAATGAAGAAAGGATAAGACTCTTAGTAAACGTCCTTGGGAAAACTGGATAGTCACATATAAAACAATGTAGTATGTCTCTATCTTACATAAGTTACAAAAATAAGCTAACTGTAAGGTCTAAAGCCATAAAATCCCTAGGAGGAAAGCACAGGGTAATAATTCCTTGACACTGGTTGTCATATCCACAAAAATCATTGCCAAGGCCAAAGTAAAAGCAACAAAAGCAAAAATAGACAAGTGGAACTATAGCAAACTAAAAGGCTTCTGCAAAGAAAAAGAAATAAGCAACAAATGAAAAGGCAACCTATAGAGTGGAGAAGACATTTGCAAACCACCATTTGATATGGAGTTAATATCCAAAATACACAAGGAACACATACAACTCAACAGCAAAATAACAATCAGTTTTTAAAACCGGCAAAGGACCCACACAGAAGTTTTCCAAAGAAATTATTCAAATGGCCAAAGGGTGCTTAAAAGGAGGCTCAACATTACTAATCACTAGGAAAATAAAAATCACAATGAAATATCACTTCATACCTGTTAAAACGACTATTATCAAAAAAGACCAGATAGCAAGGACTGGCAAGGATGGCACTGTTGTGGGAACAGAAAGTGTCACTGTCACTCTGGAACGCAATATGGAAGTTCCTCAAAACATTAAAATATAACTACCACATCATCTACCAGCCTCCCTTGCAGCTATGTGTAGGAGGAAGAAGTGAAATCATGGCCTTGGAGACTTCTGCACCCCTCTGGGGACAGAAGCTAAGATAAAACAGCCTGAGACTGTTGAATGAAGAAAAAGAAAAAGAAATAAAACAGACTATTACTGACAGATCCAAAAAGAAAACAGGGAAATCTGGTCATTTTCAACAACACGATGGGCTTGGAGGGCATTATGCTAAGTGAAAGAAGTCAGATTGAAAAAAAAAAAGACAGATCCTATATTCTCACATGTGGAATCAGAAAAACAACAACAACAAGGAAACCAAAAGTCAAGTTCAAGGAAACAGAACAAACAGGTTGGCAGTTGCCTGAGGCAGGGCTGGGGCGGGGCCATTGGATGATGGTAGTCAAAGGATACAGGTTTGCAGTTGTCAGATGAGAAGCCCAAAGCCGAGGGAGCTACCCTCAGCATGGGGCCGCACTGCCTCTCATGCGAAAAGCTGCCAAGTCTAGACTTAAGAATTCTTCGCCATACAAGAACAGTAACTCTGAGGGAGGATGTGTTCATGAACTCTGCCGTGCTGCTCACTTCGTGATGTGTGCGTGTGTTAGATCACACACCCTATACATCAACTATCGCTCGATAAAGGTGGGAAATGCAGGCTTAAAATTTTTTAGATAAAAGTCCTGTAAAATACGCGCTGAAGGACGCTGGCTGCACCTGGCCACTACCTGCACTTGGAAACACTCTCTAGCCCTTCATTTCGAGGAATGGGGTTTGCATTCCGCGACACATCCAGTCTTTGCACCTACTGGTGAGGCTCTCGTGTGGACAGCGAGGTCACGTGCAGAGAGAAACGAAGGCGGAAAAAGCCCCGCGCCAGTCACCTCCCTCACAGCTCCGCCAGACTCCGCCCTCAGCAGACGCGCTCGGACAGGAGCTCTGGTGCTCTTACCGCATCGGACCCTTTGGAAGCTCGTGAACTATTAGATTTTCTGATAATAAGGCAAGATTCTATGTTCATATTCTAAGAACCTGACAACTGCAAACGGACGAAGAAAAAACCAAGTGGTCATGAAATCTCAAAGTGAAGGGCAGACAAAGAGAAGAAATCCTCCATCTGCTCTCAGCCGAGACTGTTTAGAGCGACCTGCCCAGCTTCCACATGTCACTCTGGGCCGCCAGCTGTGCTGACTTGCATGCGGGCCGCCCCTGCCTGTCAGTGGAGCTGCCCTAGAATGCAGAGTTGGTAAAAGACTCACGACCTCCTCCTCCTTGGCCTTCTTTTTTGCATCGTCCAGCTTCTTCTTTTTGCTTTCGGGCATGAGGTCATCCAACCAGCTCAGTTCTCGCTTAGAGAAACAGAGATCCATGACTTTCCTGACAAAGACCAAGGCCAAAACCTGAAGAAAAACAAGAAGGAAAGTGAATTAAAGGGACTAGATTCTTTTTGGGAATTAAAAGTAAAGTCTAACTTTCACAGCGGACTGCGACATCCCAACTCACAGCAGTTGCCTTCCGCTGTTTCTACCACATCCTGAGTGTTTATACACAGTATTTTACTTACCTCTCATCCTAACAACCCTACATGTAGGAGTCTTTCTTTCCTTGAGGGCCATCTTAGCCCAAGCGAGCCAATAAGATCCAGGATAACTGGCCTGAACGGGCGGTGTTCTCCAGCTAGATCTGGTTTTTGGGCAAGGAACGAGGTAAACCAAATTTCAATGGCAATATTTCCCAATAAATCCAAAATCGACAGTGTCCCTTAGAGGAGTTGTCAGGAACTTACTAAATCTTTAGCCAAACACTTAACCCATGAGTGTAACACCCAAAAGCAGGACTCAAAATATATTCTGAAAAAAGATGAGAAACCCATAAAGAAGGTGAGTATCTGGAAATAGGGGCAGAGACCACCCCAACTCCAGTTTCCTCACCCTGGATATCCCCCAGCAAGTCAGCAGTACCAGACACTGCCCCCAATGCCTGTCGAGACCCACCACTTGGATCACTTTCAGACAGCCAGCTGAATTCTCACATCCACAGGACACAGCGAGCCAGAGAGAGGGAACAGTGAGGCCAGTCAGGTGGCAACAGTGCCATCATCACCCTAATTTTAGGAAACTGCTTGGCACGAGTCACACCACACAGTTCAGCTTCCCTTTCTGAAGCTGCTTTGGCTGGCAAGGAGGTGCTACTCCAAAAGGCAGACAGTGCCCACCGCTGTACTAGGCCAACATCTCCCTCACCCTAGTGCCTAAGTCAGTGCATTTCACTGCTCTAGACACTTCTGATTGCAATAAACTCCAATGTGGAACTACACTGCTTTGAAGTAATAGGCAAACTATTACGAAAACAGACTCAAGGAGGAAGGAAAGGTGAGAAGGAAAGAGGGAGAGAGAGAGAGGGAGACAGGAGGGAGGGAGGGAGACAGGAGGGCCCCCTTGGTAGCCTTGAAAATAAACATGGCACACTGCCATACATATGCACCCACAAAGACTGCTGCCTCTACAAAGACCTACCGAAAGTTAAAAAATGTGGTCATCAACACACGGGTGATTTGGTGAGGGGATGCCCACGGGGATTCCAACTGAGATGGAAAAGGCACAAAATGATATCAAAATAAACTATTATATTATTAGTTTTTAAAAGGTGGTCATCAATAACAATTAATATCCAGGGTATTTTCAGAATTCCTAAAATCTAACAATAACAAAAACAACCGGATTTGAAAATGGTCAAAGAAATTGCATAGCCATTTCTCCAAAGAAGACAGGCAAGTGACTACATGAAAAGATGCTACATGAAACGTCACCCATCATCAGAAAAATACAAATCAACACTACCCATTAAGGTGGTTATTATCCAAAACAATCCACCGAAAGCCAGAGAATAACTACCGTTGGCAAAGATGTAGAGAAATGAGAGTGCTAGACTGCTGGTAAAAAGGTGTAGACGACAGAAAACAGGGTGGTGGTTCCTCAGGAAGGGAAAAATGGAATTGTCGTATGACCCAGCAGCCACATTTCTAGGTATTTACCCACGAGACTGAAAGCAAAGACACAGACACTGGCAGAACTCACGTCTAGAGCAGCACTGTTCACAACAGCTAAACGGAGGAAGAACCCCCGTGTCTATGATGGAAGAATGTGGAGATGAAATGTGAAGTAAACATACAGTGAAAACTATTCAGTCCTGAAAAAGGAAGTCAATTCTGACGTAGGGGTAAACTTTAAAGGCACTGGGCTAATACGCCATTCACAAAAGAACAAATGCTATGTGACTCCACTAATATGAGGAACTTAGACCAGTCAGGGTCGGAGGACAGAGCAGAATGGTGCTTCCTGGAGTGACGCGAGGCGGGATGGGAAGCTTTGGCTTAGTGGGTACAGAGCCTGCATTTTGCAAGATGAAAATGTCCTAGAGCTGGATGGTGGTTGCGGGTGCACGACAATGTGAATCTACCTGATGTCACTGAGTTGTATGTTAAAACGGTAAGTTTTATGTTATATCCATTTTATCACAAGGTTTAAAAACAAGTAATAATAGATGTTTAAAACTCGCCATCATTGGAAAGACGATGGCCGCCGGAGACGCCTTGATGACCCAGAGCAGCACGAGGCAGGTGAGCTGGATGAGGGTGAAGAGGTGCACTTTGCGCAGGGGCACGTGCCGCAGGTAGATGAAGTCCGGCTGGTGCTTGGCGGGCATCCCGAAGAGCTTCAGCCGGTCGAAGAACTACAGGAGGGGACAGGCATTGCTGCTCCGAGGCGCCTCTGGGCGGAGGGCTGCTCACCCACAGGGCTGCCACGCCGCCCGCTCTGAAGGGCAGCAGGTGCCCTCTCCCAGGCAGCCACAGGTCTGCGAGAGCAGGCCATCTGGCCACAGCTGGCAAGTGAAGAGTCAAACTCTGAGTCCATTTTTTCTAGTTACAGGTTCAAATTTCTTTCGCCTTTCCTGCACTGTGGCTCCAGAGAGCGCTTTCTCCAGGAGAGCTGGAAGCAAAATAAGCCAACTGCTCTTTCTGCTTATTATCAAAACCAAGCCTCTTGTTCTTTGTGGAATTTGGAACTTTTAACATATTATAGTAAAAAGGTAAAATGCAGGTTCATATTCTGGGTATAGAAAATATGGCCATCATTGTTCTATAAAGAAAAACAAACCCAGAGATTAAATGACCCTCCAAGGTCACATTAGAATGGAGTGGACAAGAATGACACTAGACAGTGCACAAAAATGAAGAGAAACCAGCCACGGGTAGAAGCTACGGTACCATCTGAGATGCCCACGATGCTGTGACCAGTCCTGATGTTCTCTGTGCCAAGGACTCAGAGGAAATGAGTTGGGGGATGGGAAAAGGCAGATATGATAGAAGTAGCACCTGCTTACCTGGAATAGTTCCTACAAGTCAGTCTCTTTAACCAGTGTCTCCTACGTGGGACACTGTCTCACTGTCGCCTGGCACTAAAAATAGTGCTTGCCCTGTGTGGAAGCCAGCTTGGTTCTTGATCAACCCTTCAGATCCAAGTTTACTAACACCTGGCTATGCACCTAGTGCTTCATAACTGCTTGATAACTGCTAAATAACTAACAATGACGGGAACTGGTCACCCTGGAAGTCTCTGAACCTTTAAGCCAACGTGACTGCATTTTCCCTGATGTCTAAAGGTCTAAAATAACTAGTGAGACAAGGATTTGCACTTCCTTAAGGAGCTGCATTGCCTTGGCTGGGATAAGCGAGCTCACAGTGAAGAGGCAGTGCCCTGAGTAAACCATACGATACCTGAATTCCCTGTAGGGAAGAAACGCCCATGTAGAGGAAGACGCCATAGAGCACTGGCATTGGGATGAACTGCAGACAGAGGGCAGAAAGGCCAGGAATTAAATTTGCTACCACAGCATGCACAAGGTTATAGCACAGTCAAACCGTTAAATTTTCAAAAAGAAAGCAAAATCACAAAATCCCTGCATACATGTTACACAAGTTTCTGCTGCCTTTACATGATTTAAAAGTAAAAGCAAAAGCTGAAATGATAAAATCATTTTGTTCGGAAATTAAAACGTTTCAAGTAAGTGTAATCTAGTCCTGGTTAAATTACAGGCCCCTCATTTTGCCTGTCCGCTGACCCTCCTCCTACACTGGGACTGCACTCGCACATGCACACACACAGCTTTCTTTTATAGAATTAATATCTCTTCAATAGTTTGTAATCACATGATCATTGTCTCAGGCATTTGGTATATTTTTTAATATGGACTAAGTTTTCCTTTTCAGTCACCAGAGACTTGAGGGAAGAGTGAGGGGGCATCTTAGCAGGGGAAATAATTGTGCTTGTAACTCGCTGACTTCTATTTTTAGACCAGACCCTCCTGGCCCTTTACTCAGATGCCTTCCAGATATGTACCCCCAGTCTGGCCACCTCCTCAGCCCTTACAAAACTGCTTTCTCTCAGCCTTCTCCCTCTTAGTAAATGCCACTAGTCACCACCCAGGGGGTCAAGTAGCAGGCACGCTGGCTTTTTTCTTCACCCCATTCTGTAACACAGTCAGCCACCAAGACGTCTGGGCCAGCAGCACATGCCCGCCACGCTCCTCAGCCATCCTTACTACCCTACCGACACTGTCCCTTTCCAAGTCCTCATCATCATCTCCTGAAAGCGCCTCACTGGTCTCCGGGTCTATTTTTCCCAGAAATTTATCTCTAGGTGTCAACGAAAGTGACCCTTTACAAATATGATATGGCTATGTCGATTCCTATTAAAACCCTTCAAAGGTTACCGTAGCCAGTGTCCACAAGGCCCAGATTACGTGGCCCTGCCCACTCTTCAGCCTCACTGCCTTGTGTTCTTGCCTGGATTAATCATCCTGGATTCTGATGGTCCCCAGAGTACATATGGCTCTTTCCCACCCAGGGTCGCTTACACCCAGACCCGCCATTCACAGCAAGGTCAGCTTCATCCTACTTTAACTTCCGTTTCCTCCGAGAGACTTTCTATGACCACACTAACTAAAGCAGCATTCTCTTTAATTTTCTACAGCACCTTGAGCATACAGATGCCATAACAGTACCTTGAGATGTAGTTTCTATTGCTTTTCACATTCTGTAGTGATCATAATTTCTTAATTTTCTTAACTGTTTATTATCTGACTTACCCTGCTTGAATAAGCTCTTTTAGGGGGGATATTTATGCGCCATCTGTGTGGCACACCACTGTAATCCCACCACCTCAGGATAGGGCTCCCAACACAAATCAGACACCGAGGATTTCCTAGTGAGTAATGAGTGGTTACCTTTAATACAGTGGTCATGAAGACGGAGCAGCCCATCAGCACAAAGATCATAAGGCCTGTTACTCTCTGCTCTCGAATGCCCAAGAACTTGGGCTGCTCTCCCGGAGCAGAGCACTCAGATTCCAGCTTGAGGCTGTTCACGTGTGTGATAGACAGGACAGTTGCAGCCACAAACCAGGGCAGGCCCATGACGGAGCAGACACCCAGCATGATGGCCACCATCAGCAGGTCCAGGTGGTAGCCACAACCTTTCTGTGGGGAAATAGAGTCTGCGTCACTGTCAGAGGGCTGGCTGCAGTGGGGCACAGACAGGGCGCTGAGTCTTAGGCCCAAAGCCAGAGGGGCATATGGGTCAAGAGAAAGAGATCCACTGGCTTCCCAGGAGTGTCTTCCAGTCCCTACGGGTTCGGAAAACACTAGAAAGAAAAACGAAGCTTAACCTGCTCCGTACAGGCCAATTCCACTCTTCATCTGAGTGGCTCCAGATCCTCCTGAGTTTTCCAGATTCATCCTGTCTGACAGAGTAACCAGAAACCGAACCGCATCTTAACCAACGCTAGATGGCAGACACCTGGAGATGTGGATCTTTATTAAATTCCTATAAACAACCCCAGACTGTTACTAAATGTGGTGATGGAACTTTAAACAAGGAAAGAATGAGAATGAAGGCACAAACTCTCTCACAAATGAGAGTCCTGGAATGAACTCTGCCTCCCTCGGGTCCTTGGGCTCAAGGGTGCATCTGGAAATGCCTATAATGAACACCCATGGGCGAACACCTCTCTCTGGAAAACAGTGGTCCTGACCGGACCTGAATTGCAGGAGCATGCGACTAAAGAGGGCCACACTTCTTATCTGCAGGTTTGAAAGGAGAGTAGTGGAATTCGAGCTCCTTTTGCTTCAGACTATCACGCTCCACTCTGGTTTCATATCCAAATCATTTTTTCCCACTAGTGGGAAGGACTGGAAGCTCTTATTTATACACTCATTTCATGACTGCTTTCACCCCGGTTCTACACTTCCTGGTCCAAATGGGCTTCCCTAAGTCAAAAAAAGTAACAGGCTGCTTTAGTGCTTCTAGGGGAGAACTTCCTGTTACCTTGAGCTTGTGTTCCTTCCTGTTAATGATGACAGCTGTGATCTGCTGGTCCATGAATATCAGGATAGTGCAGAGAAGAGCTGGGATCACCGCTGCTATCACAGTCCACCAGGGGTTGGGGCCAATGGGACTAATAATCCACCCTCGATCGTCTCTTGTTGGCTGAGGAAGAAAATAAGGCTTAATTTTTGGATTTTTAATGAACTACAGTCAGCGCAAAACATCAAACTGAATCACAGTGTCCACATTTCTTTTTATTCTTGAATGAATATGCTTAAAAACAAAAAAAAGCATGAAATACAGCAACTCCTCAGAAAGCCTACAACCTTGTTCTAAATCTTCTTTGAGCCACTCCCCAACTGCCAAATCCCTATGGAATAGTCAATAAATCTTCATTTCTTATCCATATTTTTCAAAGCCCGTTATTTAACATTAGCCCAAGTAAAATATAATTAATAACAAAATCTGTTGTTAAAAATCTATCGTCAAGAATTACAAAAAACAAACAGACATCCCACTGACTGGGAAAAATTTCTCTCATACAAAACTAGCGATAAAGGGTTGATCACAAAAATATATGGAGAACTGATGAAACTCAACAAAAATAAACAACCCCATCAAAAAATAGGCAGAAGAGCTAAAAAGACACTTCTCCAAAGCAGAAATGCAGATGGCTAACAGGCATATGAAAAAATGTTCAACATCACTTATAACAAGGGAGATGCAAATTAAAACCACAATGAGATACCACCTTACCCCAATGAGAATGGCACATCTTCAAACAACTAGCAACAACAAATGTTGGCGAGGATGTGGAGAAAAAGGAACTCTCCTGCACTACTGGTGAGAATGCAAACTAGTACAACCACTATGGAAAAACTGTTTGGAGGTTCCTCAAACTGCTAAACATGGAGCTTCCCTACGACCCAGCAATCCCACTCCTAGGTATCTACCCAAAAGACACAAAAACACTGATTCAGAAAGATACCTGCACCCCCATGTTTATTGCTGCTTTGTTCACAATCGGAAAGACATGGAAACAGCCCAAATGCCCAAAAGTGGATGCCTGGATTAAAAAGATGTGGTACATATACAAAATGGAATATTACTGAGCAACCAAAAAAAAGAAACACATGTCCTTTGCAGTAACATGGATGGAGCTGGAAAAGATCATGCTTAGCGAGATAAGCCAGAAAGAAAAGGGAAAATACCAGATGGTTTCTCAAATAGCAGGAGCATAATGGACCAGGCAAGGAAATAATGATAATGATGAACAGCTATATACCAGAGACATTTTGTGGGGGTGGAGTGGGTAATGGGATCAAAAACAGTGGGGGAGGGAAGTTCACTGGACTATGGTGATGGCACATGGGTGATTTGGTGATGGGAAACCCAGTGGGATTGCAACTGAGATGGAAAAATGCATCAAAATATGTAAAAATAAACTATTATATATATATATATATATCTATTGGCAGGCCCTCCCTGGTGGCGCAGTGGGTTAAACACAGTACTGAGAAGCTAAAGCCACTTCCACATGAGGAGTTCGATCCCACCTGCCCCAGAGGTGACCCACATGGCGCGGCAGACCTCTCCTGACCCGCCCGCTGCTCCCCTCAGCAGTGTACTTCGTCGATCTGCCTGTTCTGCTCCCCACTCTGTCTCTGGTGAATCCTCTCACCGGCCCTGCACCTCTGGCCTGTACCCCAGTTCTGTATGCACAAATAAATACATCTTTAAAAAAAAATCTATTGTCAGGAATTTAATGACTTCCAAAAACAAATACAAATAACTATCTGTATAGGTGCTCCTATTGGAAATCCGTATGTCTAGAGCACAAGTAAAGGCAAATAGAGCCATCTGCATGGAATCTCATGGGCTTAGGTTAGATTAGTCCAGGGCCTTGTCCCTTCAGCAGTGAAACAGGGGCCCAGGCTCCAGAGACTTGAAAGAAAAACTCTAGCCTGCTGAATTTGACCTAGACCCTCTCCAATGTTCCTTAAGACTGCTATTCAAAATATTTTTATTTATTGCATAGAAGAACTGAGGTACAAGCCAGATGTGCAGTGGGGAGAGAGCCTTCACCAGAGACAGAGTAGGGAGAAGAACAGGTGGATTTACTGAAATCCACCGCTGAGGGGCGCAGCAGGGAGACAGGAGAGATCCGCTGTGCCCTGTGGGTCACTCCCTGGCTACGAGTGAAAAACTCAGGCTGTAGCATTGTAGTGTTGAAACTTAACCCCCAGGCCACCAGGGAGGCCCCGCTAATCAAAAACCTTACAGGGATGTCTATGATGTAGCTAAATTTTCCCAGATTCTCAACCCCTACTCCTCCCATCTCTCCACCCCAAGGTGCTCCAGAAGAGAAGTTCACCGTGTTTGGCAAGTAGCATAAAGGAGGATAAAAGGCCAGGGACACAAACTGCTCAGAACTGACCCAAATTCAAAGAACAAAGCAAAGCAGTTCCCTACATTCAAAGTTTGGTTCCATACTGGTCATGACTCTAGGATTCAAATACTTCAGTAACCTCGCCAAGGCCCCAAGTACAAAAAGGTTAGTCCCCGAAAGATGACGAAGTCCACCTTTCCTTACTAACGGTGCTCCAAGTGGTTGTTAAACTCTCGGGCTAGCACAACAACTTACTAAACCTCAGCTAACCTTAACCCACTAAGAACAGCAATAGTCTTCAGACTGGCCTTGGTCACTGGGTTCCACGTAGTGTAACAGCAGATGGAAGAAAGAAGAAATTTATTTCTCTGCTCCCTGAGACTGAAGCCTGCCAAGGACCAACGTTTTCTCTGACATGCTCTCATTTTCTTTTCTCATCTTTCTCCCACCCCCCAGGGGCCTTTTCCTCAGATTTCCCAAAATTCTGATGCCTCCTTAAGCCTACCCATTAGGGAGTCTTTCCAAAGGCTGCTCAATACTCCCAAATTACTTATTTTTACACTAAATCCAGCCCTCCATAGGGCTGGCCTCAGGATTAGAGAGAAAAGTTGATGGTGCTCACTTACACAAAGGTGAGAATGACATATTCTCAGAGCTATATCTTTAAAGAGGGTGTTTTTTAATCCATGAATTTCTAACTGGTAGCATTTCAGAAAATTTAACAAAATAAAATAAAACTTCAGGCAATGCAGAAAATGGTATTTTTAACTAAGCCTCCCTTAGGGGGAGAGGGAAGGCCAAGGCCAACTGGACTGGGCCCTTCACCCGTCTTCCTTCTCCTCCCCGCCTCTCACCTACGATTGCTCTCCAGCCACTGAATACGCCCGGGTCTCATCTCTGGGCTCCGCGGGACTGAGCATCTTCTGTCCACTCAGCTAGTGTCCCCAAATGGAACGGGATGTGGAGTCCCCACATGTTGGTCATTTATTTTACTCTTTGTATATTTTTGAAACATATTATGGATTATAGAGAGTCACACAAACACACGCACAGTGAGAGTATTCTGGCAGGAACCCCAGAGCTGGCTGAAGCCCTGTCCTGAGTGGAGAGGCTCCAGCGGGCCTAGAGTGCTCCCATGGCTCCCCGCGCCCTCAGACAGTGGACACACCCTGCAAGTGCTGTTCTCCAGACCTGCTCCAGTGCCCCAGGCTTCCACAGCGCTGACCTGTGTTTACATAAATGTGCACATCCCATTGTCAAACACAGTAGCGCTAGATGTAAGAGGGATTAACAATAAATAATACTTTGCAGTCATTGAACAGCTTTAGCTTTTCTGTTCTTTTGCTTTTCTGACTTAACTCAGGTCTCAAGAGCTTGCTGTTTGAATGGTAAGGCATCAGAAGCAAGATTAAGATGTAAATGACTACATGAGGAGAATATTGCAAAGGTCTTTCAAATTAAGTCAGAACTAGATTTAACAGAACTGCACTATACGAGGACACCTAGCACGGGGCGATGTTTACCTTGAACACACTGGGAACCTGAAGCTTTGGCGATGGGACTCCAATAAAAAAATCAATAATCACCATTGTGAAGATAGTGAGGAAAACAGCAAAGTCACTCACCATGGAGCGAACCTGGCATGAGAACAGATTAGAAGAAAATGTGTTAGTAGATTAAATGCAGTAAAAATATCCAGTATTGTAAAAGGCTTTAAAATCCTCTGAAGTGCTTTAATTTGATAGTGGAATTAATATAAGCATATTTAAGCAATAAGAATATATTTATAAGGGAAATTTAAAAATGTGGCTCTGAGCGGAGAACAAATCCTATGAGAAACTCTAATATAAACCACCCCAATTGCTGAAGAATGTTGATTAGAGCATGACCAGGTTTAGGTAACAGTTCTGAGAATGGGATAAGATCTTCCGGGGCCAGTGAAGCCCACTTGTACCCGCCAAGACCCTCGGCGGCAGCACCAACCCCCTTCTTTCAACTCCTCATCTAAGACACCTGCAGGCGCCCTCGCTCCGCCTTGGCACCCGGCAGAATCCGAGCCCTTCCCCCACCCACTGCTCCCCCAGGCTGGGCGAGCACCCAGCCTGTCTGGGGACGGCAGCAGCCTGTAATCCTGCCTCTGCCCTTCTGTCAAGTCACCGGTGAGATCGTTTAGAACACAGGCTGGTCGTGTCATTCTTCTACAAAGCCCTGAGCTGGCTTCTCATTCCACTGCGTGAGGAACCGAGGCCTTCGGGGCCCACGCGCCCACCTGCCGGCACCGCTGTGTCTCAGACCGCTTCACTGGTCTCCCACTAGCTCATGCTGCACACACACTTCCTCGCTGCTCCGTAAACATGCCAGGCTCTCTCCCACCTCACAGTTTGCACTTCTCACTCCCCTACTTAATGTTTTTCCTTCAGGGAACTTCTTGGGTAGCTCCCTCACCTCCTTCATTTTCACTCAAATACCACTTTAATGTACAGTAAGTATTTAATCAGCTGAGTCCTCTACCCATCCACAGCTTGCTCTGCAAATGTGCTTCACTTACAGAAAAACCACCATTTTTTTCCTGATTTAGCTCCTTTTCAAAAACTTGATCCCTCTAGAAATTCCTCACTTGGGCTCTAATTCCGCCCTCCCCAAACTGCTCGCAATGGAGCTGGGGCTTCGGTGGCGCAAACCAAGCCAGACCACTTGGCTGCCGCAGGCACAGAAGCCAGGCCCCTGCTATCACAAGAGGTACCGGGGCGCGGCGTGGAGGCCCTTCCGCCTCCAGAACAATCACCCTATGACTGCGTTCAGGACCTCGCTCCAGCGACTGCGTGCTCCTGCGCCAGCATTCTGGAGATGAAACTAACGGATTCTGAAGTGAGGTGCAGGAGCCCTCCGAGAATGCCGCTACTCCTGCCACTCTAAAATTCTGTAAATATCAACTCCTCAGGCCATATCACACATGTATGAAAGCGGCAGCCTGACACTAGAAAAAGAAAATGTCATGGGGCAGCTCACCAGGACATCTGAACATTTGGAGGCTTACCTCCAGTCTTCTGGCACAGCGGCATAGACGCTAAGGACAGGCTCTGCAATGTTAGAATTTCAACGCAAAAAAGAAACACACAAGCGTGCTACCTACTCTGGTCGGGAAATAGCGGCTTGTCTTAAATGTCTTTAAGGTACTGGAGAGGATGAAGGTGGTGAAGAAGAGAATACAGGACCAAAAGAGCACATCGGGAGTATAAGGTCCATGATGGCCACACGCAGATCCCGTGAATTCTCCATGCATCTTTTGGCATTCCTGGGGGGAAAGCATTCTGGGTAATAAAAGGTTGGCATGCGGGAAGAAAGAGCCACTTCCCTCCAATCTTCCCACTCACTGCCATCGCGGCTGCTGGGAAGCACTGGCTTCCTGGCTCCCGGCAGCATCCGCCTGCTTCCATGAAGAGGCGGCTCTCCCCTGCACCAGGCAGGCAGACTGCTCAGCGTCCTGACACTAGAAGATGACACCAGAACTGAGCAAACAGAGGTTCTGGAAGAGCCCAAACAAGTTGCGTGGGTTTTAACACAGAGGATTTCCACACGCCACGAGTGTTCTTCCTGTCCTACGGAACCTGGGCCTGCCCCCCTGCCCTGCCTGGCTTCATCCCCAAATATCCATACCTGGGGTCACTGGGAGGGTGGAAGAGAACAAAATGCTAATTTTCTTTTCACTTCATGAACAAGAGAACTTTTGGGCTCTCCCTGGTGGCACAGGGTTAAGTCTCAGCACTGTGAAGCTGTCCACAGCCACGGCAGCATGAGTTCGAGCCCCGGCCAGGGAGGGATCCACAGGCACAGCAGACCCCTACTGTCTCCCTGCTGCTCCCCTCAGCAGTGTATTTCAGTGGATCCCCCAGTTCTGCTCCCCACTCTGTCTCTGGTGAATCTTCTCACCCCCTGCTGACACCACAGTTCTTGTATGCATAAATCAATAAAATATTTTTAAAAAAGAGAACGCTTGAAAGGGAATTGAAAGTCGGCATAATAAAGAGCTTTATTTCATAAGCGCCAGCGCTTGCCACAGAGCTTCCCTGCTTCTCCCTCAAAGCCCTCTCGAGCTCGGCAGTCACCATGCTACAGCATCTGGCAGCTCCCTGACTTACACTAACTGTCAGGTTGGCCCAGTGGACGTCTGCTGCCACAATATTCTTCTCCTTCCAGTACTGTAGGGTGTGATTATTTGGATTCTCTGGAAGAGTACACCTGCAACTGAGAGGAAAAGGAAAAAACATTCCTGAGAAAAGCAATCCGGCAGTCATTTAAGTACTCAATGAACGTTTATCATGATTGGGCCACGGGTTCTGTCAGAGCCTGCCTTGTTTTTCCTTTGCCTACTTCAGATTCTGGAGCTGGTCTAAATCGGCTAAGGGCAATCTATTGGGCCAGTCATACCCTGACTTTTCACTCAGTCATTAAAATGATAGATTTAAATCAGCATATAGGCCATGGATTAAAGTGTACTGACAACCAAGCCTGGCATCTGTTACGCCCATCATGACCTGAGAAGTTCCTTGCTTAGTTTCTCTTAGTTTCTCTTATTGACATAGGCTTTACCTATGTCAATAGCATGAAGGACCTGATACCCCATTTAGCTCTCAACAGTTCTCTCTAAGCCTGAGTAGCTTGACCCCTACACTCCTGTCACAGTTTAGCTGTAAAAGTTAGTCTTCTAGAATTGTAATACAAACGCTTCCTGACACAGCATTACCCCATGTAGTACCCTATTATCCTGGTTCTCCCCAGCCCTCCTCCTCCATCTAAGCCAGACCAGATCAGACCTGTCACACTAGCCACAATAAGACCTCCGGGTACCAGTGCTTCATGCCTGATCTGACTCAGTATACTCAACTAATATAGCCGGTCCTAACAACTTTGTTTCATCTGTGAATTTAATGTGTATGCCTTCTAAGGATATAGCATGACAAACTTTTAAAAGATCTCAACGGATTACGATTGAGGGAATTAAGAAAATCAAAAGTATAGAATAAGCTATAAAATCCTACATTTAGTTACAAAAAAAAATCTCAAACTTGGACGCACCAAAGATGTCCTTTTGTAGAGGAATGTATTTACTGTAGTACATGCAGACAATGAAGTACTATTTAGCGCTAGAAAGAAATGAGTTACCATGCAATGAAGACACAGAGGAACCTTAAGTGCATATTAGGTGGAGACACCTGACAAGGCCCCACACTCTATGCTCACACACCGTGACGTTGGGAAAGGCTACTCCACGGGGCAGCAGAGAGGTGAGTGCTGGCCAGAGCTGGTGGGTGGCGGACAGAGACGAAAAGGCAGAGCACAGAGGATTTTTCGAGTAGTGAAACTATTCTGCTGGCTAATAATGATGAGTATGTCATTACACACTCAACAACACCCACCAGACGTACAACACCAACAGTGAGCCCTAAAGTGGACCACAGATGCAGAGTGACAGCACGTGCCAGGTGGCTGCACGGGTACAGTGCCACTTCGGCAGTGATGTTGGCAGTGGGGAAGCCGCGCAGGTAGGAAACAGACGGGCGACCTCTATACCTCTGTGAGCCTACACCTGCTCTAAGAACATTCAAAACATCAGCTCCTCACGTATCAACATAAGACCATTTAAAGACATGAGGCGTTCTAGCTTCACGCCGGTTCTCCTAGGAAACAGCGTGGTGAGCTCTGTCAGCAAGGCACGAAGGTGTCAGATCAAAGCCTGCTCAGTACAGGGCTGGCCGCCTTTGTCCTCTCCCACTAGGATACAAGCCTGATGGGGCCTCTGTCTGTCTGTAGGAAGCTCACTGCTGTGTCTGCAGGCCTGAAACAGCACCTGGTATATAGTAGGTGCCCAACAATTATTTGTTAAATGAACAAATGCTTAAAATAGGCGCAAGAGTGATATTATGCCAATAGCGATCAGTCTACAAGGCTTCAAAGGTTACCTTCTTTATTGGTTATTGTTTTGTAGTAAAATAACTTTTTTATTTTAATAATTTTTAATGAACTGATCTTAAAGAGTCAATGATCAGTCAGAATCTGCGGCTAGCTGGCAGAAACAGCCATCTCTCTGCCCGGTTTCAGGCTGAAATTTTTCACTTCGCAGCCAGACCCTCCGCGGCAGACCTGCACGGCCAGGAGGGACGGAGCCCACACGCGGAGCAGGATGCAGGTCTGCAGGGTGACCAGGAGACACAATCTCGGGGGGAGGTGGCCAGATGGCTGAAAGTACTGTTTCCTTCCCAGTTGATTCAAATATATTGAGCACATGAAGAAATGTTTTGAGTTACAATATATACAAGTAATTAGAGTTCTAGATTTTCAGGATACAAAGTAAAAAGCCATGGAACTAGAATTATTCATCTATGTCTATGGAAAGATTCCCAAGAGCAGCCTGTATATTGTCTCAGAGAAAGGGTGCTCTTACTTGATAACATGATCCAGGGGCTCACAAGTTCTTGTAAAAATTAGTTCTTCCTCAGAACTAACTTGAGTTCCTCCTGACACACCTGCAGTTTATTTTAGTCTTAATCCAACAACCAAAAGATCTGCTGGGCAAAGCATTTCTCAAGTTCCCTCTGGGTTTCACCTAAAGCCCATCTTCTCTATCATCAATTCTTCGGCAGCCCCCCAGTTCTTCAATCCATATCTGAGTTTCAGTTCCCAAGGGACCAAGAAACCTCCTTACCAGAAGCTAAAGCACACCTGGGGCCCTATGTTAACCATTAAACTCAGAGCCTTGGTTCAATTTTTTTAACAAGCAGGCAGCATACTTACTAGTACAGGCTAAGGTGGTCCAGCTGGCTGTGCATGTGGACAGGGTAGGTCTCTGCCAGGTGAATCAGCTTTTCTATTGCTTCATAGATGAAGATAATGCAAATCAGAGAGGCAAATGCTTCTTCAGTGAAGCGGGTAATGTAGCAGACCAGGGAACTGGCATCAGTTGCCACGAGGACGATACAGAGGAAGGCAGTCCACAGCCCGATACAAGCCCGCAGGGACAGGTATGAAAGGGCGTAGTCTCTGGAACACAACAAAAGGTCATCGGAGCGCAAGAATGGACGGCAGTCAGAGACAGAGGGTCAGAAATGTGACTAGTTCGTATTACCCATACCTCCGTACCTCTATTCCGACTGCACTTCGTTCTCAAATGCTGCCTCGGGATGGGTGTGGGAAAGTTTGGCTTCACTGGTGCTATCTGCCTCAAGGCCACGGACCGTGGCCAAAGAAGGAACTGTCCCGCTCACTCCTGCCATGACTGCCCATTAATTAAGATCTTATTCTTGCAGATAAGAAAAAGAAAGGGGCGAGGCCTTATCTCACATGCTTCTATTTTTAATATAAAATGGAAGATTCTCTAGGAAAAGTGGGCAAACCGCTGAGCCCCCACCGCTGCCAGCAGCCAGTGTGTGAGGGGGTATGTAACGCGAACTACAAACTGACTTTCCATGAAGGGGTGGGGTCTGAATTGGTTAAGGAATTTTTTTTTTTTTTAAGATAAAAGTAGACTTATCGTGGTGAGCATTTCGCAATATATACAAGTGTCAGATCATTACGTTGTGCACCCAAAACCAGTAAAAATGGTATAAGCCAGTTACGCCTCAGTAAACACACAGGCGCATAACACGGGGTGGGACTTCAAGAACAGGCGAGGGACACTGAGAAAGCTCAGCAGGACTGGGCGCGCCTGGAGCGCTTAGATCCGGCGCTCCCGGGCAGGACAACGGCCCAAATGCGCCTCCTCCCGCACTCTGCCAGGCACCTCACACTCCCGCATAACCGCGCAGCAGCCTGGCGCCCAGCCCCAGAGCCTCACACCCAGGTAGCTCCCAGAAAGCCAAGAGTCTTACTTGCAGAATTTGAACAAAATCTTTTCGAAGACGAGCACTGGCCCAGTACTCCCCAGGATGGTAAGAGCCTGTCCCGCAAATAAGGAATAAGCGATCCCAGTCATGGAGGCACCAAACAAGGACTCGATTGCACTCTGAGAAAGGAAAAAACACCACACTGAGTCTACAGCCCAACTCTAACGAGTGGCGTGCAGCGCACACCTGACTCAGCCCTCACGTCTGCGCAACGAGCCATTTGCTTGCATTTCATTTCAACAAGATGTACACCCGGGCTAATGCCCCTGTAAGATGCCACTTTGATCACTCCAGTGCCCAGTACATCCACTTGTGACTCCTCGGCTAAGTCTATTCATCAGTGGCCCAATTCGGTACTCAAAAATTTACAGAAGCCACAATGATACCATTCAATCTACAAGCTGCCATACAGAGTTACCTTAGATGTCATTTTCAAATGACATCAACCTATCATTTTCCATCTTTGGGGCAATGAACAATTCAACTGGCCGATAATCTACTGGAATTGATACCATAGCAGAAGCCAGTCTGTTTCAAAGGGAGAACTGTGCTGCTGCTTGATCTGAAGTCAAAATACCATGATAATTCGGTACACAACATCCATTCTCCTCCACCCCAGCAGCCAGAATTTTCCCCCCACTGGGCCGAGCAGCCAGTAGTTGAAGTCTTGTTTGGGACCACTGGAAATGGTTAAAATGCTTACTATTCGCCCCTCCGTGGCTTCTCCGAGCAGCCCCCCAAAGGTGATGACAGGCGACATGCAGGCGCAGTACAGGAACAGGAAGGAGGCCAGACACTGCAGGCTGAGTGCGTCCCGGTAGTCGCTCCAGTACCAAGGGGCCTTCCGCTTGATGTCCAGCACCAAGCCCCCAAACAGCCTGTGAAAACACGGCAGGCAGGCCCTCGTCCAGTCCCCCTTCCACAGAAGCACACAAGCAGTGCACATTTGAATGCACTTCAAGATACTCTGTTTTGAGGTAATACAAGATGGGCTCCAACTTGACCCCAAGTGTAGAAGAAACTGCTCTGGAATCAGCACAGATTCTTTGCAACCAAACACATGAATTTGTATGATTCTGTTAAGTATAAAATTAATAAATTGATGTGCATATTACCAACCATTCAAAAAGTTTAAAAAAAAAACATGAAATTAAGTATTAGCTTCAAACTCTGAGCTGTTAGGAGGAAATGTACAACACCGATTCAAGGTATTAAAAGTGTTAGTTTTATTATGTTGTCTAGATAAAACACCCCTATCACATGTTTTCTCCTACTCTGAACAGCTACCTACCCTACTCTTGAGAAATTAGCATAACTCTTGCTTGCAACTCACAAGGAATATTAGGTACTTGGCTCAAGCAGTGAGTAAAACAAGCACAGCCTGCTCTCCAGGCCGACGCGGAATGCAGGAGACAAGCAGCGTTGTGAGGGCGCCGCAGCAGCTGGAACAGCAGAGAGGGCAATGACAGCAGTCAGTCAGATGAGGCAGAGGGCCTGGCATGGGTGGCCCTTGTGGTGAGTGCCAAGGGAGGGATCCAGGCGCTGCATGAGTTGTGGGAGGGGCAAGAGCCAACAGGCCAGATGAGAGAAGCCAAATGACAAGGGGCCTGCGACTGCTTTAAGAAACAGAATCGACCTTACTGATATGTCAAATCACTGAAGATTGTAAAGAAGGGGACGTAAGAAGCATGCATGCTGGAGGGACCACGCTGGCAGAGACGCAAGTAATGGCACGTGAGCTGAAAGCAGAGGCAGAGGGCTGCGGGGAGAAGTGTGTGAACTCAAGGGCGAGTCAGGGGTAGAAACAGCAGCCTGAAGGGGGTTCTGGGCCCTTGTCCACTCCCACAACAGGACAGAGCCAGAGCGAGACCTCACCCCAAAAAGTGGCAGTGTTCTCAGTCAGGGTCCATATTGCTAAGGCTGTAGTCACTGTACTACAGTGAAATTTTTAGGAGAGTGACAAAACTACAGGACAAACTAATGGTTCCTCCTACAAGTCAAAGGCATAAACAAAAAAAGGAAGGCGAGCTGCTCTCGGAGGGGAACACAATAACTAACTGCAATGCAGATTCTGATTAGATTCTACATCAAATACAAGAACTCCAAAATGACGTTGCTAAGATAATCACAAAAGGTTGAAACTGGACTGAGCATTAGACAGCTTAAGAGAATTATTGTTAATTGTGTTAGATTTCATAACGGCATAGTTATTTTTAATAATCTCTTATCAAACAGATACATACTGATGCAGTTACAGGTATAATGACATGGTACCGGTGATTTGGCTTAAAATAATCTAGAAAACATAAAATAAAACAATTACATAGAAAGCAATCGATGAAACAGACTGGCAAAATGTTGACGACCACGGATGGACGCATAGGCTCACTCTGCTGTCCACTCTGCTTTTTCATGTATTTGGCATTTTCCGTAGGTGAAAGTTAACAAACAGGACGACAGTTAGCAGCAGCTGCTCTCTAAGAGGGGCTGGGCCAGCTCTGTCTTTCTGGATGCCGGGGCCCTTGGGGAGTCCCACAGGACCTGGAACTGCGCCACAGGAGAGGCCTGTGTTCTCTCCACGCACAAGCTCCCTCCTCCAGCCCGCAGCCGGGCAATGGGACCCAGGGAGACACGACACAGACCAAGCTGTCTTACCCATTTGTTCTTTTCCTCCACTTTGGGTGCGATTAATTGGGGCTCACTAATGTCCTCAACTCAGAGCAGTAACATCACAGTCTGGATCTGGCGCAGGGGAGAGAAGCAAGGCAGCCTTGCGACGGCTCTGGGCCCGGCCTGCCTGGACCCAGCTCGGGTGGGAGCCAGCTACAGGGTCCCGCCCCCCCAGGAGCGCTCTCCTAGGGGCGGGATCAAGGCTCCAGGCTGCATGAAGGTGTCCCTCTGCCTTGCCCTCTCCTCTGGGTACAGGGCGCCACAAAGACCTTACGGGCACGGCAGCTACGATTAGCTGGGGGCAAAAGTCAGCATGCGTAGGCCCCAAGCCACACACGTTAGACCAGGTGAGCACTACCCTTATCCACGGAATGACCGTCCTCCCAAGGGTATGTCCCTCCTGCGACATGAGCTAGCCCCACTGAGGCAGGCTGAGGTGCTGCCATAACTGGTCGGCCGGCACTGGAGCTGCCTGGAGGTGAGCAGCAGACGAAGGGTTTAGGCGAAACGTGTCTTAAACAGAAAGGGAGGGTATCCATCTGCCTAACAGAGTAAAAGAGGTGATAAATGTTCTGCGGCTCCTATCAGTGGCATAACTATAAAATAATAAAACTTGTGAATACCATGGATGGAATCAGCTTTGCATTTCATCTGTGCATAAAATCAGGCCACAATCGCACATCTGGCAGCCATTACTCAAGCAGGGATGCTCCTCCCCACTTGAGACTTCCTTTCTGTTCACTACTAGTTTTGATGTTTCGAGCCTTTGGGAACAGACGCACACAGTGCTGGGAACCGCAGTGGGGTGCACGGAAGGGCCACCCCGCCCAGCGGGCATGGGCTCCGCAGCACCACCGAGCCCTTGTCCGGAGGGCTCTGGGCACAGCCGGCCAGCTTCCGTCTGGTGCGCTTTGGAAGCAACTGTTTCAAAGCGTGTTTGGGGCAGAAGAGGAGGTCGTCAAGGTAGCAGCTCCGGATTGTCTTTCAATGGACTTTGCCAAAAGTGGCACTCGCAGCAGGTGCGTGAATCTACCTTAGAAAAGCCCTCTTCTCTAGAGTGTTCGCCCACTGTGAGGCCTTTGGCCCAGGAGCCCTGCAGTCCCTGCCTCACTGCGGACGCAATGCACAGGCCACGGTGCCCGCCTCAGTGTCGGGGCCCGGGGCCCCGCTGCAAACCACCCCAGAGAGGCAGGCGACGTGGGCTCTGGGACAGTTCTCAGCTTTGTCTCCTTCCCCTTGGGGTCTACACTACTTTGCCTTCGAACATGTGCTTACCTCACCAGGGTAACACCCCGAGGCTCCGCATGCGTCCCTGCTTTCGCACCCCTCAGAGAAGCATGACTAACGGCATAAGGACTTCTAGAACAGTGTAGTTAGCCTGTGTCCAGGAGAGCCTGCAGCGCCGAGGGCCCGTCTTCAGGGCAGGCGCACGCTCTCCTCCCGTATGACCTGGGCTGCCAGGCATGAAGCTCCCTATCACCTCCCTGGCCTCAGGCCGCCGTGGCAGGAAGGCCGCTTGCCTGGTACTGAGGGCTCTGAGCAGACGTAGGAGCTCAGGAAGAGGTAGTACCTCTCTCCCACAGAGCTGGCAGATACTCTTCCTTTCAGCCTTGCCAATTCTGTAAATTCAACGCGCCGTTGTGAGGCAACCTCCTCGAGCTCCGTCTGAACTTGTGAGCAGGGTCCTGAGTTAGAGACTGAGCATGCGATGGCCCCCGCGCTGGACAGGAAGCGCCATTTCTGAGACTCCGTAACTGTTACCATTCGGTCTAGTTGACTGCAAGTGACCCTCTCAAAAGGCCTAGAACCTTAGCGCATTCTCACTCTGACACCAAAAAATGGAAAGAAAAGACCCCTGCAGCCTCACCTCTGCACACGTACCTGACGGGAGCCTTGGCGCCCTTACAGCCACGGCTTCCGACTCTAAGGCCTGGGTGTGGGCACCCTTTATATTTAAAAGATAGAGCGTAATTCTGAAATATCATCCAATCCACATCCAAAGCCCTTCCCCCAAGATAAATACCGCCACCTCTTCCAGGACTGCTGCAACCCCATTCCAAGGACAGGCGCTTCCCTTGGCCGCCCATACAGCCTCCACCCAATTCAGACCTCTCCCCACATTAAATGTCAGACGCCTGGCTTTGGTGATCCCTCCCATCAATTCTGTTTCCTCCAGTGACCCCTCCCCAGAGCCTATTCCATCCGCAAACAATTTCCACCAGCCGGGAAACAAACTATCAGGATCCCGACATTCTGATAATTCTGATACAATTAAGTGCCGTTCTCTCCTGTTTCCTGTTCCTCTCCTGACCTATCCCAGAATTTCCAAAATAGGAAAAATAAATTACTTCCTGCAACTCCAAAAAACGAAAACCTCCAAACCTGAGTTCCCACTGGATAAAATTCTGAGGATTGGAAAAGGGGGCCAAATATATGACGTCAAGCAAGGAGGGAAAGCACAGGAGTAGAGGACAATAAAAGCTGCCGTCCACCGCCTGGTCCTGCCGGAGGCTCTCACCAGCAGCCCCTGGCAGATAAGAGCACAATGACAAAGCCAGAGCCGAGTCCCTGCCCTCTCCCACCCCGGCAGGCCCCTCTCGGTGTCACTGACCCAAAGCATCACCCGCTTTGCACTTTCCTCTCTGGCAGCGAAACCTACTGATCTGGGGACCAGTTTCCTTCACCCATCACAGAGCAGCCCCTGCTTGCACATTAGCCCATAAAATCTGGCCTAAGGTGTCGATTCTGAGACACCCAAAAGGGACCCACTTCCCTACCCCGCATTTATTATTGTTTACCCACACCTAGTCCACTCACGCCACAGGAAAGTCATTATTTCGCAAGTGTCCACTTAGTGCTCAGATTCTCCCTTCTCTGTGTAGGGCCCTGTGCTGGTGGTTGGCACAGAAGGGGGCGTCTGTCCTTTTAGAGCAAATAGTCCAGCAGAAAAAAAAAGAATCAAGCAGTAGTAGTGAATCACCAAGTATGGCAAGCGGCAGGGTTCAAAGTCAGTGCTGCGGCCCAACAGCCTCACTCACAGGAAGTCCTAGAAGGCTTTCAAAAGAAATCACAGCGGAACTGAGTCAAAGGACATGGAGCAGCCAGTCTGGCACGAGGAGAGGTGACCCGTGTACGGGAAGGACTGCAGATGAGACAAGACAGTTTGAGCAACTTGAATAATTTTTGGTGACACCTGGCAGTCAGTGGTTCCCTTTGCAAAGTCATTCCCAGGCAACACACTACGGGAACGAAGCTGAAGCAGGCAGGACTCTCCTCCCTACGCCTTCTGCCCGTGCGCAGAATCAGCAGTGAAACGCGCCAGAACTCACCGCCCCGTGCGCTGCAGTTCCGGACCGCTGTGACCCCCATGCGGTTCTGGTTCTATGTGGCAAATATTTCCATTTGGAACTCCAGGCATTTTCCTTTTCTCCTTTTAACAAAGAACCACAAAATTAGAAAAGTCAGCCGTCTATTCTGTCCTTCTTGTTAACAGGGAAGAAGTGATGAGATCATCCGAGAGTAGCCAAATTATCCCCAGCTATTTTTAGCTTTCAGATATGTTTACTTATTTGGGACAACTTATTGACTTTCCTGGGAAAAAAAACCAATTCATCCTCTTCTCTTAATGCCTAACTCTGCCTTGCCCAGAAATAGAAAGGTGGGAACTTTGGCATCAGATACGACCTGAATTCCAGTTATAAGCTGCTCCTCTATTACCTGACACAGAACTCTGAAGATCGTTTTATTCCTCATTTGTAAAACCAAGGACGACAATACAATAGGTCCTTGAATGATGCCGCTTTGTTCCATGTTGTTTCATTGTAATGCTGAAGGGAAAAAATCCTCCACCAATACTGAATGAAATACTATTCAAAAACTTGGTTTCCTTACACCTCCCTGGGCTTAAAGTCACAGCTTCCTAGAACTTATCAATACACTCAGCAGGACTTCCTGCACCTATGTGGAGCTGTGGCTGGAAGAGGGAGGCAGCAAGCATGAAGCCCCTGGCCAGGCGCCTCGAGCACACTGGGAGCCCCCACTTTCCTCTAACCCGCCAAAGAGTATGAGGAACTTTTTTTGCTCTCTTTATACAACTGGCTGTTTTCATTTAATAGCTTCACTCAGAACATACATATCATACTCATCCCCTTGCTCCCATTCCACATCCATCCTTCAAAAGCTGGCCTAAAGCCCACTCAGGGTGATACGGAGTGACCCCATCACACCTA